CCAAAATTCTTTTTTCCCTTGTACCCTTCAATCCATCGTTTATTGTCATATCTTAGTCAATCCAACGGTGAAAATGGGGGTTACCTGATGTTAGATAGGTACAACCATCCAACTAACTTTGGGGATAAAAAATTAATTAATTCCAAAACAAATACATCGGTTTTATGCTGCTTTCCCATCAGAAATGATGCAGCAGTAGGCGTAGTTACAGCAAATTAACGGAGTAAGACTCGACGGATCAGAACCCCCATGGCTTCTCCGGCCAATCCAAGATCCCCACTCCAGCGCCTCGCCACCTTCAAGACCGTGGCCACGCCCACTCCAACCGCCGTCTCCGCCACTCCAACCCCCTTCTCTTCCTCACCATCATCCCACTTGGACACTTTCTCCTCCGACGCGATCTTCTCCGCGTTCCTCTCCCCGGACTTCAATCCCACTCAATTTTCCTCCGCTGCCCTCTCCTCCGGCTCCGCCGCCTCGAGGATCGAGAAACTCCAGGAGGGCCTCCGCCTTCTAGACACCCAGCTGCGCCATGAGGTCCTCTCGCGCCACCACGAGCTCCTCGATCAGCTCTCTTCCGTCAAGCTCGCCGAGTCCTCCCTCTCCTCCCTCCGATCCTCTCTCTCCTCGCTCCAGTCATCCGTCCGCCGGGCCCGAGCCGAGCTCTCGGAGCCCCATCGGGCCATCGAAGTCCAGACCCGTCAGCTTAACAATCTACACTCCACCTCATTATTGCTTCAGTACTCCATCCGCGCTCTCCGTCTCATCCAGAAGCTGAGGAACCTCGTAGACTCACAACCTGATTCATCGAAATGGGATCTATCCAAGGCAGCGCAGCTCCATTTCGAGATTTTGACCCTTTACAACGAGTACCATTTGTCTGGTATTGATGTGGTGGACACAGAATTGAAATGGGTCACAGAGATCGGATCCAAGATCCGGGAAGAGGGGATGAAGGTGTTGGAAAAGGGTCTCGAGAGTTTGAACCAACCGGAAGTTGGGTTAGGTTTGCAGGTGTTTTATAACATGGGGGAATTGAGGGGCACTGTGGATGGACTAGTGAGCAAGTACAAGCAAATAGGGGTGAAGAGTGTGAATACTGCTCTGGATATGAAGGCAGTCTCGGGAGGTGGGTATGGAAGTGGAGGGCCTGGAGGGGTGCAGCGACACGGGACCCCACAGATTGGGAGTGGGGCCAAGGCAAGGGAAGCTCTTTGGCAAAGGATGAGTGGTTGTATGGATCAATTGCATTTGGTTTTGCTAGCAGTTTGGCATTTGCAGAGGGTGTTGTCCAAGAAGAGAGATCCATTCACGCATGTTCTTTTGCTAGATGAAGTGATGCAGGTAAGTGATCCCATGTGTTTTTCAGTATTCTAGATTGATAAGAAACCGAATTTATATTACATTACATCTGGACATTGTCTGTTATGTGCTGTTAGCATAGTCTTTAGAAGTCCTGAGGTGATATTTTGCCTAGCATCAAATGTTCTGGCTGCAACATTCCAAAATGTACTAGTGAGTCGATGGGGTTTCTTGTTGGGTATGGTATGCTTTGGCTCCTTTTGAGGTGATATTTTTGACTACGCATTGAATCGAAGTCTACACTTTGTAGTCACTCAAAGAAGTCACGAAGTGAAGACTTCAATTCATTAAACAATGCGGATGGGGTTTCTTGTCGGGTATAGTATGCTTTGCCTCCTTTGAATGACCACCACGTCACGTAGAGGTTCTCAGTACTCAGTCTCTGTGCCTCTTCTATACAACAACAACAACAACATAACCTTGTAGTCTCAAGCAAGTTGGGGTAGGCTAGAGATGAAACCCAAGAGAACCAATGGAAAGAGAAACACAAAAATGGCTCAAAACAAAAGGAATGGATTGGATCAAAAGAGAAAGGAGCAAAAGTCACGGTTCTGGCACGTTGATTGCTAGCCTCCACGCGCTCCTATCCACAGCTAAATCCTTGGATATATTCCAATCTTTAAGGTCTCTCTTAACCGACTCTTCCCAAGTGAGTTTAGGCTGACTTCTACCTCTCTTTACATCATCGATCATCGACCCACCCGCTGTAGAACTCCCCTACGCATTGGTACATCAGGATGCCTCCGTTGGACATGTCCGAACCACCTCAGCCGATGTTGAACCAATTTCTCCTCAATTGGAGCCACCCCGACCCTATCTTGAATATCCTCATTCCGGATTCTATCTCTTCTTGTGTGCCCGCAAAACCAACGCAACATACGCATCTCTGCTACACTTAGTTGTTGGACATGTTGCCTTTTTGTAGGCCAACATTCAGCACCATATTGCATCGCCGGGCGAATCGCCGTCCTATAGAACTTACCTTTTAGCCTTTGTGGCACCCTCTTATCACAGAGGACGCCCGAAGCTTGACGCCATTTCAACCAACCGGCTGCAATTCTATGCCTAACATCTTCATCAATGCCGCCATCCTTTTGTGCCTCTTCTATACCTCAACTGAAAATCTGGTCGAGAGGAGCAGTTTGTATTTTATCTCCCAATCTTTTGTATCAAAGTTGAATATGTGTTGAGTTGTCGTTTGGCTTAGGGCTCTACTTTCAGGTGTGCTACCTAAGAGATCACTGTAGTAATTACTAAATATAATGCTAGCCTCGTGTTATTTGTTTCACCGCTTCAAGAATGAAATTATACCTATTTCAGGTTTAATTTACACTAATTTTAAGTTGTGCAGAATAGGAGACCTATATATCTTACCTTTGTAAGATATGCGGCATAGCCGAAGATTTTTTCATTCTACTCCATCATAGGAGCATTTGAGTCTCTTTTGATATTTAAAAGGGCATCTAAGAGGCAGTGAAGGGGTGTTGGAAAGGGTATCTAGAATAGCTAAAATACTAATTTGAAAGGAAATATAACTCTACTGTTGCTTTTTTAATTACCTAATTTTCCACTCCCTTGTTTTGTCAATTATCCCATTATAAATACTAATAAGAAAACTAGTGTATTTCTTGTGTCTACAGGTGTATCTGACATGACTATATCTTGTTATACTTAATATTCTCGTAGTTGAACTTCTGTAGGAATAGTCTTAGGCTGCTCAGTGCTATTGGCGATATTCATTACTTTAATTCTTTACCCGACTCATAAAGTATTACATTTCTATCATATGTCCAATCATGATGTGAAATATATCTTGCTTTTTCTAAAAACAACTTTTTCCGATTTCCATCTCCATTATTATGAGACAAAATTTTTCAAAAGATTTTTATTTTCAATCGAAACCGAATGTTTTTGGTTTGAACATGGTAAAGTAGTTTCAGCATCATTCCTTTTTTCAATCTTGAGCAACCTTAGGTTGAGTCAACTCTGTAGTGTCATGTATACGTGCAATAACAGTACCTGAACTGTAAACTTAGTTCCTTCTGTTGTGTTGTAATTATAAGTCTTCTTTTTTCATTTGAAATCACTGTGATCATGTATCACTTCTATCCTATGCATACTATTCTTGCTACTTAGATTTATTTTTTATTTTTTATTTTTTAATTTCTCAGGATGGTGATCCAATGCTGACAGACCGTGTTTGGGATGCTTTGACAAAATCCTTTGCAAGCCAAATGAAATCTGTTTTCACAGCATCAAGCTTTGTCAAAGAGATATTTACAAGTGGTTATCCAAAATTGGTCATGATGATAGAGAATCTTCTTGAAAGAATCTCACGCGATACTGATGTCAAAGGAGTTCCACCAGCTCTCAGTTCTAAAGGAAAGGAACAAATGGTAGCTTCGATTGAGATCTTCCAGAACGCGTTTTTAGGCCTTTGCTTAAACAGACTGTCGGATCTTGTGAACTCCGTGTTTTCAACGTCAAACCGTGGGGGTGTTCCCTCTAAAGAGCATATTGCAAGGATTACATCCCGAATTCAGGAAGAAGTTGAAGCTGTGCAGCAGGATGGGCGTTTGACTCTCCTTGTCTTGCGTGAAATCAACAAAGTTCTAATTCTACTTGCACAAAGAGTCGAATACCAGGTTACTTTTAGTTTTGCCTTGAGCTTGTTCTTCTATTCCCCCTTTTCTCGAATTCTCTATCTGACCGCTGATTTTCTGACTATTAGTTATATAAGATTGTTTCTGGTATGCATCTTCAACCAAGATCTCTTAGTTTCACTTATTCTGATTTCATTATCGACAAGTTTCTGGTAATGGGTCGTAATATTCGTATCCCCGTCTATTGCCACATATTCAGTAGACTCAATTCAGACTTATGTTTAGTCGCACGACCTATTCAAATAGAGTCGCAAGACCTATTGATTATTGAAGTAGGCTTTGAAACCCTAGGCTGTTCTCAGTCAACAGTTGCTATTTGCACTTGTCCAGGCAAGGGAGGACCAAATCTGTTAGTGCGGGACATTTTCTTTTCCAAGTGGTATCCTTCCGTATATGAAAGAGAGAAAAAATACTTTTATTGGAAGTAATAGTAGGTCAGCCAATTATAACCACTGACAATGACTTCTGATTTCTTGAGTTTACATTTTTGAAATATCAGTTTTTCATACAATTTGGTATATAAAAAGCATCTCTTGCATAATTTCCTATAAAACATTATTTCGCCTGGAACATATGATTCCCGTTTTAGATTTCACAAGCAACCTTCTTCATGACAGATATCAACCGGGCCCGAAGCCCGCCAGATAACTGGCCCTGCAACTCCAGCACAGGTCAAGAACTTCACTTTGTACCAACATCTCCAAGAAATCCACATACGCATCACATCCATGTTAGCCGGATTACCCACTGTAGCCTCAGACGTCTTATCCCCGGCTCTTGGCGCCATACATGGGGTCGCTGTTGATTCTGTGACCTCTTTATTTCAAGCCATGCTCGACCGTCTCGAGTCATGCATCTTGCAGATTCATGATCAGAATTTCGGCACACTTGGCTTGGATGCTGCCATGGACAGCAATGCATCCCCTTACATGGAAGAATTGCAAAAGAACATTATCCACTTCCGGGCCGAGTTCCTGTCCAGGCTCTTGCCGTCCTCTGGAGCCATCTCCACTGGAATCGAAACCATATGCACGAGGCTCGTGAGGAGCATGGCTTCCCGGGTTTTAACGTTCTTTTTGAGGCATGCCTCACTCGTCCGGCCACTTTCTGAATCAGGAAAGCTGAGGATGGCACGGGACATGGCCGAGCTCGAATTGGTTGTTGCTCAGAATTTGTTCCCTGTGGAGCAGCTCGGCGTGCCTTACCGTGCTCTTCGGGCTTTTAGGCCCGTCATTTTCCTGGAGACATCTCAGCTGGGTTCGTCCCCGCTTCTTCAGGATCTCCCGCCTAGCGTCGTGCTTCACCATATGTATTCGCGTGGGCCCGAGGATCTACAGTCGCCTCTACAGAGGAACAAACTCACGCCCCTCCAGTATTCACTGTGGATGGATTCTCAGGGTGAAGATCAGATATGGAAAGGAGTGAAAGCCACTTTGGACGATTATGCCGCGAAAGTAGGGGCAAGAGGGGACAAGGAATTTAGCCCTGTCTATCCTCTGATGATGAAAGTGGGGGCTTCGATAACACAAAATGTGTCGTAATTCCGGTCTATTAAGCTCCCCTGGGTAGATTTTTATCCAAGTACCGACAATTGGTGGCTCGACATTGATTAGCTTCTTGTTTTGTTTTTTTTTTTCATTTTATGATATAAAAATCTTATATGAACCTTGTACTGTTCTGCCGTCGCGAACGAAGTTATTTCACATGCATGTCAGCAGCATCACTTTAGCCATGTATTGTTCAGAGTGTCGTTGTGAAGCTGTAATATACCAAGTACTGTGAAGCTTTAGCTTATAAAATTACTTTATTCGTTGATATGCTCTTGTCCAATATGCAGCTGTGTCACCTTATATTAGACATTTGCACTACATTTTGCGATTGATTTACAAACTCACAGAACTAGTGTTTGCTATTCATCATTGTAGCTTCTATATCTTATTCTCTCAGTAAATTTTAACCACGTTAATTACCAAAAGAAGATTGAAAGGAGTCATCAACAAATATGGATTCCATCTCCGTGAGGGCGTTGGTCACTAGACAAATATTTATATGTATATATAAAGGAATAAAATTCATGACAAACATCAGGACTCCGTGGCCCAATGGATAAGGCGCTGGTCTACGGAACCAGAGATTCTGGGTTCGATCCCCAGCGGAGTCGTTTTGTATTGATTTTTTACAGGAATTTTCCGTTTACCTT